GGGGGGGGGCTCATTACAAAGGGTCCCATGAGGGATTGCAAGAAAATTAAGAGGATGGATAAGCAGTAAAAGGCATTTGAGCCACACAATATGATGTTCTTTTTTTCAGGTTTGACCCTAATCTTTTCTTGAACTACTCATAACTGGCAGACATAAGCTGTTGCTAATAGACATAGCTTTGCTTTATGGGTCACAAGGTAAAACGGTTGCTGCTGTTGCTACAATAGTATTTTACTATTATTATCTTATGTAGATTTTGATACATTAAAGTAAAGCAGCACAACACACCAGTTCAACCTTAAATCTTGCCTCTGACAGGGAAAAAAAAAAACAGCTGACTAACAGAACTGCAGACAGGCAGATGTGAGGTCAGTGACTCTCTCCAGGTTTGATTTTGGAAATCTCTCCCATCTGATAAGAACTCAATTTCACATCTGACAAAACCCAAATGATTTATGAGAAATATCTGGTGTCTCTCACTAATGACCATGTTGTTGTTCAAACATGAAGCCAGTAAGTTGACGGTTCCTGGGTCATACCACTGCTAAAACAACACCTCATCCACCCAAAAACATCATTTTAACAACATGAGCAAACTCCACATTCGAAACCACATTCTCATATCCAGCCCAAACTATTTTAAGACAATTTCCCACACGTTTTTTTCTTCCACTAGGGTGGCAGGGTGTCAGACAGATCAGATCGTAACTGAGAGGTCACAGGTTCAACTCCTACATGACATCCATGTTTTCTTGCCAATGTGCCTTCGAGACAGAAAACAAATTACTCTTTGCAAACAGCTTGAGACAACCACTTGAAGGGATAAGAAGTGATATTAAATCCGAACCATAACTGCTGTTAAATTTCCAGATAATTCAAAGCACATTGCATTTCCTCATGTGAGAAACATTTAACTAATGAAGTTTGACTTCACTTACTAAAAGGTTCCTTGATGCAATCAAAAGCCCCATTTAACCATACTGTTAAAATATGTGCAAAACCAACATACAACATAAAATTCAAACTGCTCATAAACAACATAAACAACCATAATGGTGGTTTAGTCCATTACCTAAAAATCATGTTGATTTTACAGTCCTGCTGACCATTTTGTAAATCAGCCAGTTATTTTTAGATTGATTTCCTTCCTTCAAGGCAGACGATGGTTCCATTTGATTTCTATAAAAGACTGTCTGCAGAAAGATAAGCCATCAGTCACAATTTAGACAACTTTATTTTTTCTGTCAAAGTGACTCTCAAGGGAAGAGAGGAGACTAAACAGTGAGAAAGATAATCTGGAGGGGAGGGAGAGAACTTAAATAAGACAAAAAGAAAAGTCAAAAAAGGAAGAGAAGGAGAAATGTCTGTGTGGCATGATGCTTTGTTCAATAGTTGAAGTTGAAAGAATACAGATACATACATTAAAAGAGGAAAACAGAAGTAGAGAAATAGAGCTAGACTAAGAGGGATACAGTATAGTATGCACAGACTATTGAACAGCAGTCAGCTACAGGGGGTTGGAAAACTGAACAGAAAGAACTTTCAGCACATTAGAGTTTTCATAGTCTCAAAGTTAGTTTTTTTGTTGAAGCTGTTAGTAGGTGCTGACTCATCTTGATGTACACAAAAATGAACAGTTAACACTGTCCTAAAGTTTAAAGACAAAACTGCAAGGCAAACATGGTGTGACATATTTATTATATGTCAGTGCTAAAAGTAGTATTTCACATGGTTATAAGAGTGAGCAAAAGCACTAATAAAGATCAGAAATGTTTGAGGAAAACAGTTCGTTCAGCCAGAGTCGAACTGAGCCTGTAGAAGAAATGTGTTTGACTGTGTGTGTGTGTGTGTGTTTTATTAATTCTTTCCACACCGGGGAAGGGGTGGGGTGGTGTTGGACTCATGTAAAAACAGCCAGGAGGGACCAGGCTATAAATCAAACATACCCAATGACCTCCCAGGATAAAAAGAGAAAGTGGGGTCCACAAACATGCACCGGCTTGTACGTATTTAAAACAAATGTATGTGTTTAATACATACACGCTGGTACATTCAGGCAGGGCTGTGTTATAAATCAAACACATCCAACAGGCTCTCAGGTATGAAAAATAAAGACCCCTGCTGCCTTAAAGCAGCATGATTGAGTTTAAAAGTGTTTGTCTGGCAGATCAGTGGGATGCAGTATCGTCAGCTCGCTGATCTTTCCTCTGTTCTCTGTTTTCATACAAAGCAAAAAGTACCTTCACAATCAGCTTTTAAATAACGGCATACATACAAACAGTGTGAGGTTATAAATCAAACAACCCAAATACCTTACAAGGTGCAACAATGTGTCTACATGCGTAAAAACCTGTTTATCAAAAACCTTAATGTTGACAAAGCTTCACAAAGCCACTGCACAGTTTCAGTGTTTTCTGGCCCAACCCAATGGCCATTTTCTGTGGTTTGAATAGTCTTCATCCAAAATGACTCACAGACAATTAGATCATCGACTAACAAGCTGCAAAAAACCGAGGGCAAGAATTCATTCTCTTTGCAATGTTGAGCAACTTTGATTAGCACCCAGCAGCTACCAACTAGAGAGCACTCAGTGCACTGTAGTAGATATAGTTAATCTAGAAATAACTCACAGATTTTATTTTTCCACATCAACCAATCATTTTGTTGAAGTGTAGGTAGAATTTCAGTCAACCAAGATTTTTCTTTGGTTGGCCACAGCCGTAGAAAACATTATGTCCATCAATAGGGAATTGAAGTAATTGTATGACTTTGCTGGATGAGTTGTCCAGTTCAATATAGGAAACAGGATAATATTGAATATGTCGGTAAGCTATCTGTGGCTATATCCTGGTATGGACAAGTTTTACCAGTTTTTTTAAGTCTTGATGAGAAATCATGCGCACTCACCCTTTAGGGGAATTGCAATTATTTTTTCCCGATGATAGGCCCTAAAGTCTAAGCTTATACCTCTACATGAGTCTATTTCTAAACCCACCACAGTTAATGCCAGACTTACTCATATTTGCTGTGTGCAAGGTAGCAGAATGAATGATCCATCTATAACTAGCAACTGAGCCAAAAAACTGTCAAGTTATGAGCAGTTAATTGGTCTTCCAGTCACTGTCAGAGCTGGTTCATTGTTGTCATACTTGTGCAATGACAACAATCAATGTGTTTTGCCATTCGAAGAGTTTTCCTTAGCTCTTTGTCTGTGGGACCTGCCCATTCATTGCTGTCATATATAAATCTACAGGCAGTAAAAAGGATGGTCTTGGATGAGTTGCCTTTGAACTTTGTTTAAGCGCTTTGAGAAAGATTTAACCAGGAAGAATTGTGAGTACATTAAACAAATAATTAACACATTTGTATATTCTTATACTTATATATAGGTTATGTATTCAGATATTTTAAACTGAAGCCACTTTAATTCAACTCTGTGTATTAAAGACAATAAGTACAATATTATTTTAAAGTATTTTTATGGTTACGTTTTGGTTGCGAGAATAATACACAATGTTTATATTATCAAATACTATACAATACATTTGAATGCACTTTATGTACTTGGAAAACTCTTTACAGTATTATTTTACATTTCACATTACAATGCATGCCGAGTAGAGGGGGGACGCAATATTAGTCACTATTATACATAAAAAAAACTAATCAAAGCTTTGAGCTAGTATATTTAGATATCTAGTAGGTATTGAACACTGTCCACAAGGTTGTGAATCATCTAGAGTAACCAGAACATTGTTTATGGAAAATGCAGTGCTTGAATTGTGGTATTTATTTACCTCAGAATCAGAAATACTTTATTGATCCCCGGGGGAGGGGATTTTAGTAGTAATTTATTTATTTAACTTAATTAATTTTGCCTTGTTTCTTTAAACAAAACAGACACCAGCTTCAGCTTCTTAACTGGAATTTCCCTAACATAAGATGGCGTCATCAGCTTTCGGTAAGTCTAATAAGATCATGAGGTGGGACTCATAGAGTTGCAATTAACTAACTATCAATTCTGAAGTGCTACAGAGTAAGCCCTGTTTCCAGCAGGCAGCTCTTTTCAGCTTCAGAGGTATCCAGGTTGATCTTATAATTGATAAGAAACTAAAATATTGTATAATCTCAAGAATAACAAAAACTAAAACTAAAACTATTTACAAATGTAAGTGGAGAGTTGTGTAACTGTATCTCAATCCGTGTGTGTGTAATCAGATTTGTAAATGTGTAAAATAATCTGTAAATACCTACTGAGATTTGTGAGTATGTGTTCAGAATCTGCAAATATGTGTTCAGAATCTGTGCGTGTAAATATATAAAAAAAAATATCTACAAATCTGTAAATGTGTACATAAATCTATAAATTTGTAGACAAATCTGCAAATGCAGATATACATATTAATGGGTAAAAAGTGTTTGTTCCAAGAGCTCGAAATACAGAAAAGTCATCAGTCAGGCTTCAGAATTTTCTTTTTACACGTCAGTTTTGACTGCAAAAAAAAACGTTTTTTACCGTCTTTTTCGAGAATTAGGTTGGAAGAACGATCAAATGGCAAAAAATTGTGTTTCTGGGAGCGGGGCCTCACTGATTACAAAACACAACGTTAAACTTTATTCATAACCTTGCTGTAAATAACCTTGGTACTATACTCCCTGTTGTCAAACTGCCTCTGCTGGTCTCAGAGACAGTTTTGTCCCTGTGTTCATTTTGTTTCTACTATAAGTTACTTATGCCCTCAAGGCTTTCGTTAGACAGAAGTGGGCGTGGCTAATGAGGCAGTGGCACACACAAATAGCCAGACGCATTTGCAGATCTCTGAAACGGCAGAAGGGTAGCAGAAGTCTCTTGTAAAAGTCCACTGAGAGGCCTTAATGCCCCCTGAACTGTAACTGATTAACTGTCTGTATTTACCGCTCTTGGAGCAAATACTTGGGCTTTTCAGCCATTAATATGTCTGCATTCACAGATTTGTGTATCCATTCACAGATTTGTCCACTCATCCTTTATGCAATTTTGGAAATTTGTTAATTATTTGCCTCTTTCCTCTCTTGTTTTACAGTATCTGAACTCAGGGTTGTGATGTTTGGAAAAAGTAAGGAAGAACAGATAACATTAAGGAACATCATCACTGGAAGAGAAGAATGTTCTCATCAAAGTATGTCCAAGCAATTTGCGCATTTCCACAAAGATTGGAGAAAAAAACCCTTTACAGTAGTGAAAACACCAGATGTCTTCAGCCTGCCTGTGAATCAAGTGAAATACGAGATAAAGAAGTGTGTGGCCCAATGCCCGCCTGGACCAAATGTTCTGCTGCTCTTAGTAAAGCCCTCTGATTTCAATGAACAAGACAGACAAAAATTTCAGTTCATCATGAGCCTCTTTGGAAAAGATGCTTTTAAATGCTTGATGGTCATCATAACACAAAATGACAGAGGGGGGAATTCCTCAGTGAACCAACTCATCCAAGACTGCAAACAAAGACAGCACAGAATCAATTTGGAAGAACAATATTTTCCTGACTATGATTTCCAAGAATTGATGAAAAAAATGGAAAACATAGTGAGTGAAAACAGGGGACAGCATTTAACCTTTACTGAAGAGACTGAGCCCATTGTAGCATCTGAAAGTCCAAAACCCCGTCTAAACTTGGTATTGTGCGGGAGACATGGAGCCTTGAAGAATTCAGCAGCTAATTCCATTCTGGGAGTAAGAAAGTTTGGTCCACCTGCTGACCCATCAGAGTGTGTTAAAAATGAGGAAGAAGTGTGTGGATGGAGGGTTTCCCTGGTGAAGCTGCCTACCTTGCATGGAAAACCTGGGGAGACAGCAATGAGGGAATCATCCAAATGCATCTCTCTCTGTGATCCCGAGGGTGTCCATGCCTTTGTCCTGGTACTACCTTTAGATCCCCCAAGTGAGGAAGACAAGAAAGAGATAGAGACCATCCGTAACACACTCAGCTCTAGAGTTAATGATTTCATCATGATTCTGTTTACTGCAGAGGCAAATCCTAACTTTTCCGTGGTAGTGAGGTTTCTACAGGAAAACAGAGACATCCAGCAGCTCTTGCAGAGCTGTGGTGGACGATATGTTGTCTTTAACATCAAGGACAAGCAGAAAGTCTCTGAGGTGTTACATACTGTGGAAAAGATGAGAGTTGTGGGATGCAGAGGCTTCACAAGAGATATGTTTCCTAAGCCTCGAATCCCAACACGTCTTACAAGACATGCCTCTTTCATTGAGAAGGAAGGGTATCAGAATAAAGACTTTCACAGGATGATGCAAAACAGACAGTCTGTCAGGATGGAGCCAAGTAGACAGCCTGTCAGGATGGTGCAGAGCAGACAGTGTCTCAGGGTGGTGCAGAGCAGACAGTGTCTCAGGATGGTGCTCATTGGGAAGACTGGTTGTGGAAAGAGTGCCACTGGAAACACTATTTTGGGCAGAGAATGTTTCAGTTCTAAAGCTTGTCAAAAATCAGTGACTAGACGTTGCCAAAAAGAAGCGGCAGATATTGATGGGCAGTCTGTGGTTGTGGTCGACACTCCCGGCTTGTTCGACACAGCTCTGTCCAGCAAGGAAGTTCAACAGGAGCTTATGAAATGCATCAGCTTGTTAGCTCCTGGACCTCATGCGTTCTTACTAGTGCTGCAGATCGGACGCTTTACACAGGAGGAAAAAGACACCGTGGAGCTTCTCAAGACATTTTTTGGCAAGAAGTCAGAAGACTTCATCATTGTAATATTCACCAGAGGAGATGACCTTAAACAAGTGAGTATTGACAGTTACATAGAAGAAGACACAGATGGCTTTGTCAAACAATTGACAACTGAATGTGGAGGAAGATACCAGGTCTTCAATAACAATGATCAGAAGAATCGTTCTCAAGTGAGTCAGCTGCTGACCCAGGTTGAGTCAATGGTGAGGAAAAATGGCACTGGCTACTACACCTCAGAGATGTTCAGAGAGGCAGAGGCAGCCATACAGAAGAAAACAGAAAATATCATGAAGGGGAAAGAACCAGAGATACAGAGGGAGCAGAAGGAGCTTGAAAGAAAACATCAAGTGCAAAAGAAAGAAAAATTGACAGACTTAATAACCAAATTTGAACGAGACGAGACAGCCAACCTAGTTAAAGAAAAGGGACGCATAGAGAAGGAAAAAGAAAAGATGAAGAGAGAAAAAGAAAAGAGAGAAGAAGAGAAAAAAAACAAGAAAAGGCAGGAGGAATTGAAACGACACGAGTGGGAACAAAAACTTGAAAATGTGGACAAAAAATTTAAATATGGAATAGAAAAAAGGTCAACTGCTGACAGCATTTTATTAAAACAAAGTAGAGAAGACATTAAAAAAGAACGAGAGGCTTGGGAGCAGGAAAGAAAGGAATGGTGGGAGAAACGATATCGAGAAGATCAACAGAGACGAGAGGAGGAGCAAACCAGACTTCAGAAGCTCCAGGAAGAATATCAACAAGAATTTGAAAGATACGAAAACCAAAGAAAAGAAGATAGACTCAGAAGAGAACAGGAGGAAAAACAATGGAAAGAAGAACAAGAAAACCTTAAGAAGGAACTGGAGGAAATAAGGAGGAAAAATGAAGAAGAGGCCAGAAGACAAGCAGAAGAATGCAATGAATTCGTAGACATATATACCAATGACGTTTCAGATGAGATGGAAAGGTATATTAAGGAAACGGAGGATATGAAGCAGAGGCAACAAAAACAAAATGACTGGATAATAGAACATCTGAGCAGAAATAAAGCATACCAAAGGGACTTTGAGAAATTGAAGAAAAAACAAGAACAAGAAATGAGGCTAAAATTGGCACAATTAGACAACAAAGAAGATGCGAACGAAGAAATCAATGAGCTAATGAAAACACATGAGGAGGAAAAAAATCACTGGATACAGGAACATATGAAAAAAGCCACAAAGGCCTGTTGCATTTTATGAGACGTTTAATTTTTTGGCATAGTTTTAGCTGCAAAACTATGAACTTGTGATTGTAATATGATTTGTTTTTTTTTAATGACTTGGTATGTACTGTATAGTTGACTTATATCAAGGTGTTCAAATACCACTACTTTATATAACCAGTGCCTGATGTATAACAATATGATAGATAATGTTTGTGAACAGTTGGAAATTCTCCTAATGACCACTGTACTTTAGCACGTAACTTCCATAACTTAAATTTTTTATAATAGCTGATTTAGTTCAACTTTGTGCATTTTCATTAGCTGTAAAGTTCAATGTATGTGTGTAACAGACAGCATGTTAGTAATCAAAACCTCCCTATATTGTCTCTCTTTTGAAGTCAGACAAACTCTGTAGACTGAGATTTAACTATTTTACTACATTCAAGTTATATTTTTATTTTAACACACTGTTAAGCAATATTACAGCATGTATCTAAGTGTAAAATAGTGAAACCCCATGACAGAAGCAAATAAATTCATGTATAAACAATATAATCAATCAATCATATTTTTGATTTACAAGTAAATGTTTATCTCATCTCATTAACATTAATAACATTGTATTTATCATATTTTATGTAAAGTAAAATGACTTAATTTAGAATGTTTCTCCGCACAATCTGCATATATATTCTCTTGTTTTTCGTTAATTTACATTTTATTCTATTTTAAAAAATTATATAGATGAATAAAGTGTATGAATTACTACATTTTGGTGTAACTTTTTTCCCTGTATAGCTGATGCATGTTCAATGAGGACTACTATGATAGAACTGTCTTTACGGAGATAGCCATCTTGAAACATAAAGATTATATTAAAAAAAATAATTCAAAATTAAATTCAAATGAAAAGGTGACTGTTCTGTATGATTGCTTATATACTTGGACATGTTTTGAAAAAAAGCTACGTAGACCTACAGTAGAAATGACTTCAATATAATGTGACTGTTTAGAGAAAAGCAGCATATTCTTAATAAATATCCCCCACCACTTGACTTTATCTCAGTACCCTCAGAACTAGTGAATGCTTGCAAAAAAAAACGTATTATCAACGCCACTGATCTGGTGCATTCCTAATTTCTCAACACAAGCCAACAGGATGTAGGGGCAAAAATCTGGTTCCCTACATCCTCTCCACTCTTGTCAATAACAAGCTCACCAAGCAAGACTAGCAGCAGTTTTGTGTATATTATGTCACTGGGCTGGAAACATAGTGTCATCAAAAACTATATTCATGAAACAATGGTCTACAATGTGCTGGTCTGATGCTAGACAAAACTTCTAAAATCAATTTCTAATTTGAGGATTGGTGTTTTAAACCATATTCAACATTTAAAATAAATTAATAAATAAATAAATATGGCAAACTCTAGCTCAGTGTGGAAGAATTGTATGGGCTGATATTTGTGTCAGTAGAAACTGAATTTTAATCATTTAGAGCTGAATCTGAATTGCCCAACTTGAATAATTGCATTAAAAACCTGAATTTGAATTGCATAATTTGAATTTGTATTGTTTAACTG